AAGCAAAATGCATAGTAAAACAAATAATACTCAACACACTATTTCGTTTATATTCTTTTAAACTATTCACTTAATACGTTACAAACTACAATGCATAGATTTGATACTAATATTATAAAACTATCACGGAAATTTCTATTTAGGTCCCAGTTAATATTTAAAGAAATTCAGTCAAATGTCTTCTTTTTTTCTATAGTTTTATGCTGTTTTGCATCGTTTATATTGAAACAATTTAAATTCATTAAAACTTTCTAATTAAATATTTCAGTTATTATCTTGTATGGGAAAGTACGCATTTAATTCATTTACAAATTAATTTTGTGCACGTTTTTCATTTAATTCCTAGTAGAATGAAAAGTGAGTTTATTCTAATTAGATAAATAAACAGAGATGTTATTACTGCAGAATGCAATAAACTGGGTAAGTAATAAATTAATCAGAAATGAAATGGTAACTGCTACGGCTTATTTGTCAAACCGTTAATGAAGATCTGTCATTTCTTCAGCTATTTCAACTGTAAATTGTTATTAATTAAAATGATCATTGAAAGGGATGTAGAGTGAAAATTGTGCACCATTCGTGTAGTTTATCTCAAGCTGTTTATTTAATTTTGAGGAGAATATTTTTTTTTGTTCCCATATCTCCCGCTGTCTGTTTAAGTACTTGATCTATATCATTAAAGTATTATAATTGTTTCCTACTTTCCTTAATTATAAGCGTTAGTTTACTATTAATTCTATTTATCATTCGTTGTGTTGTTTTACTATGTATTATATTTATAATTAGTTGTATTTTTTGTTAGAAATGAAAAGAATAATTTTTCTGAATTAAACGACTGAAAATGTAGTGCAAAAGACAGGAACATCTAACTGTGTATGTATTACACTATCACGATTTAGGTATTAAACATAAAGCTTGAAAACAATAACAAAACTAAATGACATTTACATACCAATATGATTTGAATAATAATTTGACGGAAGTTATAACTATCCGAATAAACTGAAGAAAGCTTCGCACTAATATATTGAAAATTGTTGGACTCTTAAGTAAAAAAATGTATTTGGTAGATAATTTCAAGTTCTGTACCATCTTATCGACCCTTAAGTCTCGAATATTCTAAAGTATATATATTCTATATAATATAATTTCTTTAAGTAAATTTTAATAAAGCAAATTGAGACGGATTCCCAATAGTTAACTTAAAATAACTTGAATAAATAGATAAAAACTAAAGTAACTTAAGAAACTTGTACGGTAAAAGCTTTAAAGAAATTAGACATTTTATAAAAAACAAGTAGTATAGCTTATTATTTTAAGAATTCAGCATTCAATACATTAGTGTAACTTAAGCAAAATGTATAATAATATCATAATGAAATAGCATATATGTAACAGCATTATTCTTTTTATGTATTTTCACTTGTACAAAGAGCTTGTACGTATTTTTTATATTGTATAGAAAGCTTAACACAATTATAGTTGGATTATTTATAATAATGCTCCAGTTCTCAGCAGTTTTAAAAGTTTAACAATCAAAAACATTAACTGCTATGACTTTGAAAACCTTTGTACTTCTCTACCATTAGAAGAAATTTTTACTAGTTTAATGCAACTCCCACAACTTTTTCCTGACATACTTGACATCCCTTGTATTGAAAGATGGAATACTTATCTCAATTGTGCATTATTTAATAACTACATTAAATTCAATAATAAGATCTTTCAGCAAGTTAGAGGAATTCCTATGGGAGCAAACAGTTTTACACAAATTTGTAACCTATTTCTTTTTACTTTTGAATAAAAATTCCAACTAAGTTTAAATAAAAATGAATTAAAGCTCTTTGCTCATACTTTTAAATACATTGATGATATTATAACTTTCAATAATAATTCTACTTTTGAGCAATTCAAAATTTACCCAAATAGTTTAACACTTAATAAAACGAATACGAATCAAGATACTATTGAATTCCTAGACCTGCAAATTATTAAACACAGCAAAATTAAATTATTTGATAAAAGAAGGAATTTCCATTTTCATACTATTAAACTAATTAATTGGAACTCTAATATATCTAGAAAAGTAATAGAAAACACGTTTCATAGCCAAATAATCAGAATAAAAAATATATGTACTGAAATAGACGATTTAAAGGAAGAAATAATAAAGCTAATTAATGTTCAAGTTGATAACCAAGTACCACCAAAATTTATTAATTTATATATTAAAAAGGCAGGCATTGACTTTATAATTTTTTGGCTCTTTTGGATATGATAACATTACCTTAAACCTTAACTGGAGGGTAATGAAGGATATAGAAGAGTAAAGAAAAATCTTGTAAATTTTAATATTGTAATATATTTGTAAATATGTATATTTAATCAATACTGGATTCTTTCCTTTTACTAATAAAGGGCCAACTCTTTTCAAAAGTCTCAATTATAGCCCGAATTGAGTGAAGATTTTAATCTTCTTCTTCTAATTTTCCATACTTTAGCCAGTATTTAGTTAAGTTTTGATATACCAATTGAAATCAAGTTCATTAAACTTTTAATATTTTCTTTAATTAAATATAACTTTTAATTAACTTCCTAAAGGAATTTTTGGGAAATTTCTGGGAATTTTTAGAGGTTTTTTAAGGACTTCGTTTCAAAAAATTTTGGGAAATTTTACTTTAAAACTTTAATTTTAAAACATTTCAGCTTTTCTTAATTACTTTAATTATTTGCAATTTTCACACAAAAAATTTTTCACTTAACGTTTTTTTTTACAATTTTTACACAATTTTTCAACAGTACACACATTTCACATTACAAACAGTTTACATTTTTTATTCACAATACCACTTAACTTTATTTTCCTTCAAGCAAACTTACATCTCTTGATTGGCTCAGCTACTTAACTTCCTAAATAATTGATAATTACTACCTTTAAGATTTTTAATTTTTAATTTAATTTTTTTAATATTAATGTTTACAAAAAATTTTTAATATAACAAAGATAGCAGCTTGACACTCAACTTTACCTACATAAGTGCCATCTATATAATTTGAAGAACACACTTACTTCTCTTTAACAACACTTTTGCAGACCCCAACACTCATATAGTAGGTAAGTTAGAATTAAAACTTACTATTTACTTGCTTTAAGTATTTTTTTTTTAATTTTTTATGTAGTATTTAAGTATTTTCTAACATGAAATTATATTTTTAAATATATATTTGTTTTTTAAAAATTGTAATTAGTTCTTTTTGTTTCTTATTGGTTAATATGGATTATGTCTAGTTCTTTTTTAGTTTCTTTTTATTGATATACATATTCGTGTAGGGAAGGTTTCTGTAGACAAGGGTTTCTAAAATACATTGGTTTCTAGATTTTTTATTTTTTACAAAAAAAATTAATATTTTAAAAAAAGTTTAATTTAATACTTGACTTTACTTGCTTGTTTCTCAAAAGACTTCATTAGTATTTTCCTTTTAGAACTTTATACTTATATTTAATTCTTAAATGTTAATTTCTAAGGGTACCACTTTATTGGTATTTCTTTTTACTTTTGGTTTTGACTTTTACCCTTGCCTGCATGAATGACGAAACACGAATTGAATGATTGTATAGTTAGGTTTGGAGGCAACTTCCCCTTGATAAGTCTGTCTCCTGCCTACTCTACAGTCATTCACTTATGCATTTAAAAAAAAAAATTGTTTAGTTTATTTTTAATTTGCTAAATTAGTGAATTTATTTTCATGAATTGGTTTTGCACTTGATTTGCTTATGCTTCTGTATTTAAATGATATTGTAGATTAGTTCGAGAATTAAATCTTTTATATGTTTGCACATTTTTTAAAATTTTTCTTAAAAAAATATTTTGGCTTTTTTTCTTTTTTTAGGCTTTAAATTTGTTTTTTTACTTTTATACGTGTTTGTTAAAATTTAAATTTAAATTTGTTTAAATTTTCACTTGCTTATATCTATCTATATAAATTTTATATAGCTGAAATTTGTGCTAATTTTATGAAAGTATACTTATTATGTAATACGTATAGCTATAGTCTAGTATAACTACAGATAATAATAAAAATATAATAAATATTAAAAATAGTGCAAATAGAATATTATTGGTGCTATACTATAAATATTACAATTACGCTTTTGACTGCAATTTATACTATTATAACAATACAATTAAATAATACTATTTATGCTAGATTACAGAAATAGTATTATTATACAATTTATGTAATATGTAGTACAAAGAGTACAATTACGACATCAGCTTCTATTAAACCATTATAATAGTAAAATATGGTATTTGTACTATATCATAAACTATAACCTAGTATATTAAATAGTGTAACAGTAATTTTACCAATGTTTTATATAAATTACAGGTTGTATCCATATTTGCATGTGTTAGAGGTGATATTTATACTGTATATTTTTATATATAGCCTGTTCATTATATATTATAGTATAATTTATTATAGCAACATATAATATAGGTGGTAAAGCATAAATTAATATAAACGGAAATACAGATTAATGGAGTTCTTAATCAAGTGACGGCCCACCAGCGGCCGAGTGGTAATGTCGCTGAACACTGGTAGTTCGGTCCGAGGTTCGAATCCCGCGAACGGGCTGGCTGCATGGGTGTTTTCGTGGTTTTCCCCATGTGTAACGTGTATACGAGCCGGTTTCCCTTAGAAAGTCCTCCACGAAAGGCATCCCTCCCCTTAGTCAGATAGCCCTAGTGTGCTTTGCCATAATTAAATACACCTACACCTTAATCAAGTGACTGAATATAGCTATGAATACGAGTTACAATTTCTCATTAAAGCTTCAATTTTTGCCCTATGTTTTGCATACTTATCTTAAATAATTAAATAAAAATAAATTTTAATAATCATTTATACTATTAGTATAATTATAAAATACGTTCTAATACACATAATGTTAAACATTACATCGAAAGTGAGTGTTAAACTGAAATCTGCATTACCTCTAGTTTTGAAGTCAAATTCATCAGAATTCTTGAGGTTTCTTTGTGTAGGTGTCCATGATAAGCTATCCGCTGACGCTGAAAAACAGCAGGAAATAAAAATGTGCTCATTAATGATTTTTTGTAACATAATTTAATATGTAGAGGTAAAATCCTAGTATACGGCACGGCCTTGGCACGATTTTGAAAACTGTCGTCAACACCAACATGACTCGTTTACTGCTTATCATCATATCTCTAAAAATCGCCAGATCCCGTGTGTACCATATACTAGGATTAAACCAATGAAGAAAAATTTTTAATCGACTTTGATGTCATCAATTTGAACTTTTTAAAATCCTATTAAATGTACTAAAGTTTAATTTAAATTCGTAGAAATTAATAATTAAATATTTTAATATTAAATTAAAGACTTCTTACTCAAGCCATGAGAGTTAAAATTAACAAAAATGAAGACTAGAAATTGAAACTGCAGCATCGTTTAATTTTTCCCATATGGGACACAAACCGATATGAAATTTTACTTCAGCTCATCAGAATAACTGAAGCATTTAAATGCGTTATAACGTCCCTACGTTGCTACGCTACCAAATAATTATGTATTGAGAAATGTAAAAGTTCTCGAGCTTAAAGGATTCTCGTTGGAAGATGCGATGAAGATCCTCGCGCCGGAAATGTCTCAGTTTTGTAAGTTTGAAAAATAAACAGTTTGATGTTGGATCAGAACGGTGAATTTTGTTTAAAACCTTCACTACAGTGTCAGTGAATAATAAATACTAGTTATTTTTATAATGTTTACTAGAAAGCGTAATTGTTGGGCGTTGCATTATTGTTACGAAATTCAACGAAACAATCTGCAAATTTCGTTTTCAACAGTTTGCCTTTATTTGAAAAGTTTTATCTAATCCTCATCTATAGTTCCTTTATCTATTAATTACTATGTAAAATTATTATTATTCTCTCTCCTCAGTGCTTGCTTGCATGGTGTAACTGGAAAGCATATCCAGACAGCAATCGGAAGGTCCGGAGTTTGACTCCTGGCGAGAACAATGATTTTTTTTTCTAAGTTTCTTTATTCGAAATAATCTAATCACTCTACAACTATTCTGTATTATTCTTATCCATCATTATTTTTAGCGATCTATGGCATGAGAAAAATGCATTTTAAAAAGTACAGAAAGGTAACACGCAACCTCGTATTATTAGCTTCTTTTGTATTTCAAACAAATTAACGAAGAAATTATTAATTAACATAACAGCTAAACAATGATACTAGAGAAAAACAAACAACCAAACAGAATCCAAGTAGACATGTTAAGAGACAATTCACATTTTACTTATTTATGCTCTGTGGCCGTTATAAGCTACAACCTAAGCTATATTTTAAATCACGACCATAAAAAATACCCACTAGTAATCCAACGGTAAAACCCCTGATTCCTGGAAGCTCGAGCTGGGTTTAAATCTTGGTGAACTGGCTGTTTGCTTAGGAGTTTTTGCGTTTTTCTCCATATGTAGCATGAGTATGAGCGACTTGCCCATGAAACATCATGCACGAAAACATCCAAACAGCTCTCAAGTGATTTGCCATAATATAAATCACTCTAATCTTATTACCAAGGGACAAGAATGTTTAGAGAATAGAAATATATGCTAAAGAATGAAAGAAGCTTCAAAACACTTCAATTAAGAAGATTTCATATAGATGAATACATCGAGAAGGTGGTTGAAACCGAATGGTAAGCAAGAAAATCCCACTTGGAGAAGTATCTGAAAGAAAGGTATACAACAAGCTGTGGAAAGCTATCGAGTTTAAGAAGGGAACGAATTTGTGCGAATTTCAGAAGAGGTACTGTGAATAATGCAAGAGGCAAACTGAAGTGCAAGAAAAAATAATTAGCAATTATAGTGTGAATTCTTGTTTAACATATATCTATGTGTTTTATTACACTCAAAATCCTTTTACTCCAGCTGTGTTATCTATGCCATAGTGAAATATCTCTAGTGACTCCTTAGATATTTCATGAAACTGTATTATAGACCATGAAACTGTATTATAGACCAGTTAATATCCTGACATTGAATAGCGGCTGCTGAAGAATGAGCTTTTAATAAAACTCTATTTATACAGTTATATTTACAATTTATTTGTACATACTTCACGTATCCGCGTGTCGAGATTTAAGCCTGGTATATTTTACCTGAACTCGGCATCTTCTGGAACGCCAGCAATGAAATTTTAAAAACAGAGAACCTCATTTTCTGAAGGCAACAAATTAAAAAAAAATTCCAGTTTGTGCAGCCGTTTTCGTTTCGAATCTCACTCACAAAACAGAACTTTATTACATAACGCGATGTTAAAAACTTAAGTTTAAAACAAGGCATTGTTACAAATGACAGCTTTTGGTACATCGCGCAAAATCCTGGGATCCAAAAACTTGCGAGTCGTATTTTCTGTGACCATGGTTACCACCGTCGGGACCAGGTGAAATTCTCTCCAAAATGTGATAAGTACAATAGCGGTGATAACAAAAGTAGATGATGACGGCGACATCTAGAAGTTTATTCTGAGAAATAAATAAATGTATTTGTTGCAAGTTTCTTCTAAGAATTAAGGAATCCCGACCTTTCTTCGCGAAACAACCATTCTAGGAGAGCCGGACCAATTTTATTCTAATATTAAGCTCTCAAAGGAATACATTGAACTTTTCTCGTATCACGTATGAAACGACTATTTTTCTTTATTGTATGCGAGAATAAACAGTCGTCTATTCAAAGTATTTAGTGTACGGCTTCAGATCGGTGGCATGCTCAGTCAGCGAGTAACAGTTCAGTTCAAATTACAGTAATTATTACAGTAACAGTTCAAATATTCAGCGCAATGTTCATAAAGAATTTGATTTAATACCCTTACTTCCATCTTTCTATCGCATTCCATATCACATTTACCAGATCACTGATCATTACATTTCATAAACTGGGTTATTCTTAGAGTTATAATATAACATAGTATTTAATTATTTTGGTCCAAAGTCGCTATTAGTCTGGAGGGCTATTAGTCTGGAAACGGCATTTTGCGTCAAATCACTTAAACGGCGTCGAATCGCTTTTCAAATTGCTTCCACCAAATATTATCACCCTGTATTATATTTAAGGAAATTAAATAATGAAGAATCTGCATGAATGTATGTATGTTTCTCGCACTGTGAAAAACCAATGACACCTTGAGCCATCAAGTTTTCAATAACGTAGTCCTCCACCCGAATATTAGCACCTTGAATTTCGAAACTTGAATTTCGAATTTGTTTTATTATGTGTTTCAGATTTTTTCAACTTTGACAAAATTTTTATTAGGAAACACAACGATTTCAAAGCGAGAAGGGGCAACACACTGTGAGGAATAAATATTTTTATCACCAGCGCGCGAGATTGTCTATCGAAAGTTCTAAGGATATGCTCTTTCTTAATCTTTTTGGCCCAAAGGGGCGTTAGCCCAAACGTTCTCGGAACGTGCGTGTATGTATAAATAAACAAACTCATCTTTGGACGTAGAATAAAATCTTAAAGCTTTCGGATTTTTTGTAAATTTTATTCTCTCTTTCTGTTTATATATTTATTATTTCTAATAATTTATTTTTAACAACTTTTTCTCAATTTCTAGTGTTATTATTAAATTAATGGTTTTTAGATTTTTACAATTTATAATGTTATAAATGAACTTCTGATGCCTCACCGACTTAGATCCCTCGTCCTCTGTACCACAAAAGTTTTACATATTCATTTTTGCTATCGAAGGCAAAAAAAATGTTACTCAGTTGTCTCGAAATCGATAGAGATTTGTTTAAAACCCATGCCCCACTAAGCGTTTTTTCCTTCTTTTTTCTGCTTTAGATTGACACTCTTTTACGTAGAGCATGAGAATATAAAATGATATTTACATAACTATATAAATTTTATCTTTGCCTTTGGTATTACCATAAAATTAACAAAAGTCTAATGCAATAGGTTAAAAAATAACAAAATTAGATCTCTTAAATTTGCGTATATTTTAAGTATCTAATTTTAGTTCAATTTAAAAATCAATTCATTTTTTGGACTAAAAAAAGTGAAAATACAGAAAAAAAAAAAAAAAATTAGAATTCCGAAAGCCAGTGATCTTTAAACGCACTCAGAAAAACTAAAACTTACTGAAAAGCGATGTTCATAAAATAATCAGTAGAAATAAAAACTAATTTCTTATTGCAATTAAATTAAACTATCTAATGAACCGGTTCAGTTTCTATCATGGAAGGATGGAAATTTCTGAATTATTGCTAATTCACGAAGGGAAGGCTAAAGAATTTTTTCCCTTGCAAAATCATTATTTTAAAATACTTTAGAAACTCATTTCCTTCTGCCAAATTAGATTTTCGGATTCAGCAAGCAAATTAAGTGTTTGCTAATAGTATCGGTAATAAAGATTTAAGTCAGTTTAATTTAAATATGACAAAGCACACAAGGATATCTACCAAAGGAGGTGGGATGCTTTCGTGGAGAACCTTTTTCCAAATGAAATAGAAAAAACAGCAATTAATGATACCTGAAGATATAAATTTTATAAGACATGAAATGCCACCGATAGCACGAAAATAATAAATTAGGGAAGTTACATCTTATTCTACACTAGGTAAAATTTTGATTATTTTGATATTTCTATCTCTTACTTAAAGCGCAAATTAAAATTCTTTTTATATGTAATACAGTATGTAATACCTTCAGTAAAATAGTAATACATACCATTATACCTTCAGTAAAATAGTAATACATACCATTATACTTTCAGTAAAACAGTAATACATACCATTATACCTTCAGTAAAATAGTAATACATACCATTATACCTTCAGTAAAATAGTAATACATACCATTATACCTTCAGTTTTACAGCAGAAGATTTTCAAACTTTGAGAAACAAGAGAACCCTTAAAACAATAATTTTCTTTTCTGAAACTTTGAAAAATCATATTTTTTGTGGACTTCTTAAAATATAATTTTATGGAACTCAAAAAAATATTTTTACAGAATCCCCAAAATTATACTTTTGAAAAATGCTTAAAAGATATTTTCACGGAACACCTCAAATAATGCTTCTGAAGAATCATCAAAAAAATATTTTTTGTGTACTCCTTAAATACATAACTGTGGTAGAATTCAACCAACCTTTAAAACAAAACATTAGAAAACATTTAAAATTATATAAATAATGTAAGCACTTTATATAAAGAAGAGTACTTAAAATTAGCGCCTTTCGGTATAGCCCAGCTGTGCGAATCAAGGTTTCCCTTTGCCTGCCCGGAGAATTTAAGGATCTTGTAAAGGGGAAGAAGTTTTCCTCTTCCCTTAGACACTACAGAGTTCTCACACATCCTCCCTTTTCAAAAAGCTGAAGGTTACTATTTAGTTTTTCGAAGCGAATGACAGCCAACTGCAGATGAAAAATAAAGAAATAAATTTACATATCATAAGAGCAAGTAAAGAATATCTAATAAGAA